GGAGTATTGGCTTTTGTGAAAATGACACAATGTATAATATGAATATTACAGAATAATAATAAAACATATACGACCTTGAAATTTAAATCCCTCCAGGTGGATCCAAAGGCAGAGATCCTCATTATCGCACTCGCAGGTCCACGGGTTTCCGCTGAGTCCCAGGGAGCGAAGGACCGGCAGCGCGATAAGGGTGGTGATGTTGAGCACCGTCAGATTGTTCCGGCTCATATCCAGGACCTGGAGAGCTGCGTTTTCCATGAAGGCTTCTGGGTGAACCTCCGAGAGCCCCGGGTTGTCCGTCATCCTCAGCATCACCAGAGTTGCCAAAGGACCGAACGTCCTATCCGCGATGCGGGTCAAAGTGTTAAAAGAGAGGTCAAGGTATGCCAGCTTCCGGAGATTCCCGAACGTCGACTCCGATATCTCTGTCAGCGAGTTGTTGCTGCAGTCCAGGTACACCAGGTCGGACAGGTAGTTGAGCCAAAGCGCGGGCAGCTCCCCGATGCGGTTGTTGGAGATGATGAGCTGCCGCGTGGCCAGGGGCACGTTGCTCGGGAAGGTGCTCAACTGTTGCCCGGCGCACTGGACCACCAGCTGCTCATCACACACGCACTTGTCGGGGCAGCCCGGGGTGAGCATCGGGGATGCGCCCGCCGCCGTGGTAAGAAGCAGCACTACTACAAGCCGCAAGGGTTGCGCACTGGGCTGTGGGGCAAGACGCATGTCACCGCCGAGGGCTTCATCCACCCGGGCTGGAGATACTCATGTGCACTCACATTCTTCATTGATGAATTATCGCCCCCTACCCTCCCCCCTAGCCCCCCCCCTAAATTAGTTCTACTACAGATGATCTCTGCAGCGGTCAAACCTGACTTTCCGAAACTAAATCCCCAGTGGAAGGTGTGGGCTGAGCGGCATGTGCGCCTGTTTGGGTAGGGGAGGGGGGAGCTTATGGGAGAGGGCTGACGCCATAGAGCAAAGCTGGAGCTTTGGCTGATAATAGAGAGTAATGTTAAATATTAAAGCCATCCCAGTATTATCCAAACGACTATAGACCAAGGGATGCTCAAGCGGTGGCTCGTGGGACATATCTGGTCACGAGAGAAGCCCATTTGGGACACACTCAAAATACATTGTTAAGTAATACTTCATCCGGATTTGACTCCAAAGCAGTATATGGTTCTTGATTATTTTCTGTCACAGCTCCCCCTTGGGGACAGAACTGTACGAGTTGCTGCCACCTAGTGATTGGAGGCTTGCATTAGAGCAGTGGTACACATAGCAAACCCCTCATGCATCCCCTGGCACCTCACCGCACCCTCTCAGGAGGGCCCGCCCCACTATTTGAGAATTAGTGAATCATCATAAAGTCATGTATAGTAAACAAAAACAAACAACAACAACAACAAAAAAACAACGTTAATCACAGACAATACAATGGAAGACTTATTGACTTAGCCTTGATAAACAACACTTTCTGAACAGCCGCTAACATTAACAACACTATACATTAACGTTTAAATTTGAAAGCAATTTTACAAAAAACAAAACAAAACGCAAGTCTTGCATAATAAGAAGCTAACTTATTGCTTTAGGTTAGCAAAAGTTACCAAATGCAGAATGTGCATTCGGGTTATAAGACTATTGAGACTTTGTGCACCAGTGATGGCATATCGGGAGCGAACAACAAGTAGATGCCGCCGTGCAGCGCTTTTGTTTTAGAACCCGTCATGGCATTTAGTAAAGAGAAAACGACGACGATGATGAAATGGGACGGGGTGGTTTCCAGCAGCGGTTATTCTCCCTCTCTCCCTCTCTCTCTCTGGACTCATCACTCTTGAGTCTATTCTTGGTCGTCTGTGTAGGTGTTAAAGTGCTGAATCAAACTCCAACTATGATGGAGGTAGAGGAAAAGATGGAGGTGGAAGAGGAGGACAGATGCTGCTGGCAGCGCATGACTAGAAATTCACCCCCCATTTCGCTGGACCATGTACAATATTTGTTTTAAATAGTTCCAGAAACAAAGTCTGGCCAGCACCCTCTCTCCATAACAGAATCACGGCTAAGGTCAGCTGTCTGGGAAAAGCATTGTGTCAGTTACACATAAGTGTTGCTTTTAGTATTTCCTAATGGGTATAAGTGGAGATAAGCTACTGTTATACTTCTGCCTTTTCCCTGCAGTTCCCACGTTTCCAAATAGGTGGCGTAGAAAATTATAAAATCATTTTAGCCTTTATGCATGACCTTTACATGTAATTTAGCTTAGTTTACATGAACTGTAGGCTTGTTTATTTTTTCAAGCATTAATAAAGAAGCAGCGGTATAAGCTAACGTACAGGGAAATAGAAAAAATAAAATAAAATAAAGAAATAAATAGAGTATTGCTTTCTGGGGTTATAATGTTTAAAGTCAACTTTTACCGAGCGTATGGGGACATCTAGTGGCAAACAGTAGAAAATGTTCGGCAGAAGAAAATTGAATTACTGACCTGAAAATGTCGTTGCATAAGGTGAAGCCAAGTGGAACACAGTAAACACCAAATTATGAGAGGTTGGTTTGGTAATTTCAGGTGTATAAAAATAAACTTTAGTCAAAAAATAATGTAAATAAATAAATGTAACGCCAATAAATAACACAACGTTTAAAAAAGACGTTTTCTTTGACTAACTTTACAGCTTTAATTGCCTTTAATTACCTTTAATTGTGCCGTGCACGGAACACTGCGGTTATTGTCTTTCTGCTCATTCCCTGGCGGAAGTGACTCGGCAAAATTGTGAATGACACGACGACGAATGACTCAGCGACCTTCGACATATATTTGCACGGCGCCTGGAAAAGAAAAAAAACTTTTAAGTCTGGAAATCACAGCCTTGAGGAGTATGCGCAGTGAAGGTTAAGGTTGAAGGGGTGTGCGCAAATTGTGACGTATGCGGTAGTAGGTCAGAAAACTTGAGAGGGGTCTGTTTGAGTATCTGTGTGCAGATTCTACTGAGTCTACTTCGAGTCGCTCAGTTGCAGTTCAGGTAAATGCTATTTGTTCATTAATTTAAAAACATTTTATATTAAAACAAACGAGTTGGTTTTGTTTTTTGTTGCAATGGCGACGCCCGTATCGTCCCTTGAATGTGACCTTGCTTCTTCGCAATTGTTATATTGTCCTACTCTTTTGCACGAAAGTGCAGTTTTCAATATAAAAACGTTGTAAATAGTATAAAACGAAGGAACGCAGTCAAACTGCAGTCGAAATTTGTTCTGTCAAAACTTAGTCAATAGAAAAAACGACAATGTGGAGAGAGAACGAAAGAAATAGTTCTTTCGTTCTCTAAATGTGAAACTCCTCTATGGAAACACATTTTTGAATTATTGTTCAACCGTTTGGCGACCACTTATATGAAGCAAATACGACAATAATAATGTATAAAAAAAATTAGTCAAATAATTTGCAAATTAATCCCATACCCGTTTTTATAATAGAAATAATTTTTAAATAATTTAATCTATCTACGCAGTTCAATATATTTTTGTTGTTTTATATTTTAATGAATTTTAAATGAACTATAATGCTATAATATGTCTTTTCTGCAAATGCACTGTTGTAACTTAGCTGTTAACAAAATTGGTTAATACATTTCTGTAATTCTATAGGATATATGTCAAAATTGCTTTGAAATAAATCTTAAAAAATATTATTTATATCTATATATACATATGCTCTTGTTTGTCATTGCTCCAGGTCCGTAAAGATGGTTGTTCTGTCCAAAGAATATGGCCTTGTGGTGATGACCGGTGTGGCCGGTATGGTCATGGTCGGGCATCTGGGAGCCAAAGTTGTCTGCGCTCGCAAGAAGTACAATGTAAAGGTGAGCAAAAATCGCAGCTGTTCGAACACACACCGATTTTGAATCGCCCCCCCACATAACTCTGCGTGAATATTTCATAGTACTTTTTGACATGTGTAACCCATACAGTGATCTTTACGAATAAACCCGTTCTTGCATTGCAGTACCCCCAGATGTACAGCGATGACCCAGAAACTGGACACATTTTCAACTGCATCCAGCGCGCGCATCAAAACACGTATGTTTAAACCACGTCGCAACTCACATCAGCATTTTCCTTTCGTTGAAATACAACAGTTCCAAACTAACTCGTCTGTTTTTTTCGCCCGTGACCAGCTTGGAGATGTACCCATCTTTTCTATTCTGCCTGGCCATTGGTGGTCTGCATGCTCCCGTAAGTTTAGTTTTGTATTAAGCAGCTGTAACGGTCGGTGTCTACTGTACGCAGGTGTGCCTGTTCATTCGTCTTATCTGACAGTGTTGGCTTTTTTTCTAATGTCTTTGACACAGCGTCTAGTGAGTTTTCTTGGACTCATATGGATCATAGGCAGAGAGGTGTACGCATATGGGTATTCTACAGGAGGTGAGAGTTTTTTTTTTTTTTGTTTTTCGTGGCAATGTCACGTTAATTTGGTTTGGCTCTTTAAAGATGGTAATGTTCATCTACAACCCTATCAGATCCCGAGAAGAGAATGCATGGACTGTTTGGGAACATCGCTCTTTTCGGAATGATGCTGTCTACAGCGTGCTTCGGCCGTCATCTGCTGGGTTGGCCAGCACCACAATTTGGACGCTTCTGTGGTGGAGCATGCCAGAAAGTCCCAGCAGTGTAAAAAAAAAAAAACAACTATACTGCTCTCATTATAACAATCATAAATCATCCTAAATAATAAAATTCGACGTTGTAACTTGTGCAGCAGCTGTGAGGTGACCGGACTAGTTTTTTTACTCGTGACGTAACTTGTGCAGCAGCTGCGAGGTGACCTGACTAGTTTTTTTACTCGTACGTTGTTGCCCGTCTGAGAAAATGAATGCACTGTTTAAACAAACTGACACTCCCTTAGTCGGCATTTAACCTTCCAAATCGGGTTGTTAATTGTATTACACGATGTTTGTTAAAGCATATTAAAAAGCACTATTTTTAATTGAAGTATCACCTTGTTTGCCTTTTTAGCTGACAACATGCTGTTTTGTACACGGAAGAGTAAATAAAAATGTTTACTCAAAAAGTGCAGCTACCATGTAGAAACATGCTGTATGTCCTGAAGAACACGGATAAGTTTTTTTCCATTGTTGGAGGTTTGATTTTAAGAAATTACGTAAAGGAAGTATTCTTAGAAGACCTGAATGAATGAGAACGAACATTGGAGGAAGTCGTCGTTAACAATAAGCCGGGCTTTAAGGTATTTTATCAAGTTGACAAATAGCTTGACGTCTCTATTACCTGTCCTGGAATGTCCACAACTATTCAAGGTTCCTTGCTCTGCGGGAGACGCGACACTGACCAAAAGATTGAAGCTCAGACTTGTCCTAAAAGTGTAAAGAATGTCCGTGTGATTGTAAGAGATTCCATGTCAACTCATTCAATTATCAAATAAATAAAGTACATTCTTAAGGTGAACACTTTAATGGCTCTGTTTAATACATTTGCCGTAAAAATCACAAGTGCAATAAATGATACTAAAAGCGCAAAGTCCAACGCAACTAGACAATGATCCAACAAGTATGAACACCGGACACAAAAAAACAGTGCCTCTTGACCTTTGCACAAATTGCGCAAACAAACACGCCTACAATAAATACGCACATTCAATAGCTGTAGCAGTTTTTTTTTCGTATATGTTATCACTAAAAGTCGTAGGAGTAGCGGTATCTCATTTGTTTAAACCACAGTCATTACATTATTGTTTTACTCGCCCATATAAAACCGTAACACCTAAATGAACAAGAGTTTGTCTTTCAAACATTTCAAGTGTACCTTACACTTGACATTCATATCTGCCGCCTACTGCTACGGTCGTTAGCCACATTACCTAACATACACACTAAAGAGGTTTAACAACCTCTGTTAAACTGTTGCATGTAGGGATGTCAGCAGAATCGTTATCGGGTTTTTTTTTTCTCCCATAATAAAAACCCGAAAACAATGCCTGGGTTTTACCAAATGATGTGTGCCCTAAAAATAGTTGAGGGGGAAAACGGCTGTATATTAAAGTAAAAGCCACTAGATGGCAGCGTTGCAGCTTTATTCATCTATTGAATGGATTGTCAAGCCCCCCTGTTAACTTCCTTCCTTAACCACCAGGCCACCACTTCCTGCTATATCAGTATCGGTAAATATCGGAATCGGAAATGAAGTATGAAAATAAAATGGAAAAAGTAAATATCGGACATCCCTCGTTGCATACCTGCAAATTATGAATGGATATGAGAAAAAAAACAACACTAATATATTCTTAAAAGGGGAATGTGTTAAGAAACCATTTTAGAAAATGTAATTTAAAGGTCACTGTGGCAGCATTTTCATTACCGATACAATACAATCAGTCTGCCGCAACATTAGCTGCAGCTGCATAAGTTAAGGCCCTGCTGGTCTTTGTCTGGCGTTACCTCTGAGTGGTAGAAACGACCAAAGACATGCCTCCTCATCAGTAGCTGTACCTGGAGAGAGGTGTGTCCTCCATCAAATCATCCTATAAGGGATTGATGAAATATGTAAAGAGATACACATATTAAAATAATTTTAGTTTGTTTAAGACTTAGAGAAGTATATAAGTATATATAGGACCGTGAAAATATATATTATGTATGTCTGTATTTTTGTTCGACTCATTTACATGTTGATATCGTACTTCTCAAAACAGACTTTTGATTATTGCGTTACTTCGTGGCTGGTGGATTTGAACCTGCGACCTTCCCGAAACAAGTCCACCTACTTAACCACTGCCCCACATTCAGAAATTTCCAAATTACAATACCTGGTTGCTAGAAATCTGCATCATAGTCACCATGCATCATGGTGCCCTCTCCCTGTCCCTCATTATATATACATACATATATTATATACATATATTATATACATATATGTACATTCAGTATACATATATGTACATATATACAAAGCTAATTACTTTGCAAGAAAAAAAAGCATTACCATGGGAAGATCATGTAACCGATGAAACTCTGGTTGGTTTGTCTTCTGCCGAAACCTGAGGAAGAGGACGAGGAAGACGACGGCAGTGGTGACAATGAACACTGAGAGCAGAGCAGCCAGCAGGGCGTCCAAGGGTGAGCTGGACTGACGGCTGCGTCCTTTGACATCTGTGTGACACAGCAACAGACATTGTATCAGATGCACATTTTCGCGATGAAAAGAAAAAAAAAAAGAAAGCTCAAAACGTTAGGGGAAAATACTCCTTGACCATCGTCTCCGACAGCGAGCCCCGCTGGGTAGCGACTGAGACGGTAACTGTGTGGGGAAGGTGTGGCCTTCGGAGCTTGTAGCCTTCCCTGTGTGGGAGGGTGTAGATGGAGAGACAGTAGGGGAGTCTTGTCTCCTGTTTGCAGATACGGAGGCTTGACTTGAAAAGGCAGCGGTCCAGAGAGAGGGTTTGGATGAAAGGCCGTCCCCGGAATCTGAAAATGGTTTAAGGATTATCTAAAGTCACACAACCATGAGGACTGGTTTTTGGACATGATGCAATGGTGCCAATTTCCTTGTCATGAACAATGTCCTAAAGCAGGATAATAATTATATAAATATCGACAAAGTAACACATTACAAATGCAAAATCAAATTTAGCCAAAAAAAAAAGTTTAGAAACTCTCGCTATATTAGCCGTATACTGTTAGCTGTATAGCTGCTACACTTTGAGTTTGCACTAAACTGTAAATGTAGTAGAGAAATTAAAATAAATTATTATTAAAAAGTTGACTGAAAAGTGTTGTACAAATAATGTCTATTGTCTTGGGTCATGCAGGTTTGTGTCTTTTAAAATATGGGTCCCCAGAAAAAAAGCCATTACATCACGACATAATGTTATTTGCATATATAGTATATTCTGCTTATAGGAGTAAAATATATATTTAATGTAGGTAGATTACTTTAGCCTGGTCCTTTGAATAGCAGTTCCCAAGCCCAAAAAGTGTGAACACCTCTTTGCTACATTATGTTGTTACCACTGTGTTAGCGTAGGCGAGTGACCTAGGTACTTACATGATAACATGCTAAAACAGCACATTTTAGATCAGTCTGAAATACCCTAACATAGCACATTTTAGATCAGTCTGAAATACCTGAAAATGCACCATGGGGCTGTGTACTCATGCCAACCAATGAACTTGTTTGTTGTGACGTTGCTTCAGAAGGGTGTGTGTTCATCTGTTGTGATCCAAGTGATACTGGAACTGTGGCGGTCTCCCAGTGGGCTGTTCCTTTAGCGCTCTGAGGTGAGGTTTCATCCTTGACTGCACCACTGTGTGTCCACTTTGTGTCTGGAGCCTCCGTCAGGTCAGGTGATACCGTGCTGTCAGCATGATTTGGAAAGGTCTTTGTAGTGAAGACAGAGGTCAAAGCACTGCTCTGACCTTTAGGAGTGGAAACAAATGCAAAGTATAAATACTGACCTAAATGATCAGTTAAAATATATAAAGCTTACATACTCAGAGCTATAATCAGGTGTAAATATTTTTTTCTTTTTGATTAATTACAAAAGCTTTATTCTAAAAATAAAATAAATAAAAATAAAATAGCCTTTCTGCCTCCTTCGGTTGTCCAAGCATATTTTAAAATGACATCTTACTTAATTTAACAACAGGACGTAACACTGACCAGACAGAAACAAACCTAAAAAACTCGGTTTCAAAATAAAAGCCTTGCCGTTGTATTTCCTGTACCTATCACACTGCACAAACTATATATTATTTGGATTTTTAATTCAACAATATCACCGGATGTGGCCCGTGGGCAGTGCGATGTGTGATATAGTAATCTACTGCCACCAAGTGGAGGAATATTGAATTGTTCTGCCTTTCACATATACGAATGAAAAAAATATTTGCATCAAGTAAACAATACTTTTCAGACTACTGAGTAAACATTAATATTTCCAATCGCACACTTGATGATATCTCACGACATAATGTGTTTGGCAATCATTGATTTAATGAGAAGTCTGTAAAGGCAACTCCTATTAGTCCCAATAAACAAACCCGATCATGTTATGATAATTCTTCCTATAAATATTATTTATTATTTAGATTATTATGCGGGATTTTTTTTTTTACATAAACAGGCTTCTTAAAAGAGTTTCCCCAAAAGATAAACAAACAAACATTGGCAAACACCATCCTCTGAAGGACTAGTTTAGGCAAGCTGACATTACCTTGTGTCTCCGACGAGCCGATCAGAACCACCAGGACCAGTAATAGTAAATGGCCGTGTAGTCTCATCTCATCTGCTGCAGATCTCACCGGTCTCTCTCCGCCACAGCTTCTGCCCTTTTAGCTCTGAGCTCGTTTTCTTTGACGTGTAGTGAACTGGGGCTCATCATCTGCGCTAAAAATATCTTGAGGGAGTCGGGCAGAAGAGCGGAGGCAGGGGTGGGGCCGCCAGCAGGCGGCGCATGGCACATCACGATCTGAGAGAGAATAAAGTCCAGACATTTTCATCAATGCACTGCGCATTTACGCTTAGACTGCGATATCTGTTGGTTTGTTTTGTTTTGTTTTGCCCACCTTTTCACGTACTCACACATCATCAGCATCCATCCCTACCACATGCATCAGTGTGTCGCTCCTCGGCTCCAATCAGGAGCCAGTGCGTCAGAGGCTCGGTCGTGTGCGTCAGGCCAGGAGCGCCTGTTGTGAAGCCGATGCCGGGGATGCGGGGGCTTGTTATAAAGCTTTGGGGGTGTCACGTAGTTTTCAGTGATTACAGGTTTGATTATTAATAGCAGGTGATATTCGTTTCGTTGCTTTGTCAGTGTCCGCAGAGGTCAGTATAGGGTATATGTGGTCACGCCTGTGCGCACTGGCCACCATGTGTACTTGCAGGATGACAGCTGAATGACCCGCTGCGTCCTCTGTCAGCTGGCTTCCCTCGACACACACTGTGGAGACAACACTAGTCTATAGTCGCTTTCTTTTTTTTTTTCTTTCTTTTAACGGTCGGCCGTTATTCTAAAATCCGAAAGCGGAGAAACAGCCATGGAGCCTTCTACTCCAGACAATCCTTCGGCAAAAAGCCCGGTGGAGTTGGAGTTATCGGTGGAGAATGTAGAGTCGGTGAGTTGACAGCAGTCCTATTTTTCAATTATTGTAACTTTTTAGATATTTGTTGATTTTGTTTTGCAGAACTCCCCCCCATAGAGATCTTGTTTCCGAATTTCCAATCCAATTTAAAAATAATATATATTAACCCTGCTAGAAAAAACGTTTTCATTAGTAATGTAACTTTGAACGGGTCGGACAGAGACTGGACCATGTGTAACCTGAGACTAGCTATAAGCATATGCTGTCCTAATAATAACCAACACCATGTGCTTTGGATTAGTTCCCTCCACAACACAGCCTGAAATAATGACAACTGTACTATTCAAGGGCACAGAGTGTAGAATACAGCGACATTGCCGTAATTTAAATGCCGTGGTTCTTGTCCAGTCATGTAGGACTATTGGGTTACCTCAATTACCTAGACTCAATTGTCCATGTTTTTGTTGCCACTAGCTCGATAGACTGGGTGCCGCGAATTGTTTTTTTTTCTCGTCTTAGCTAATGCCCTTAGCTTTAGCCGCAACTTCCATATAATTTGGCCGTTTTATAAAAACAATAACAATAATAAAACATTCTATTGTGTTCATGGAAAAAAAAAATTTGTTTGCACTAAAGCAACTTTTCACCAAGAATTAATTTCAATATCACGAAATTACTTTTTACTGTAAATATTATTTACTTTTCTACGTCAACTACAGTAGCTACATTCTTCACTCTATCAACGATGCTGCACTTTAACTATGGAGTAGCGTTTTCCTGGTGCTGGCAACAATGCAAGAAATATCAATTTGTGTACGAATAAAACTTATTAAGCAAATTAAAGTGACATTTCATAAAACACTTAACGTCAAAAACGTCGGCATATATTCAGCGCGTCAATTAACTCCACAGGGCCATTAGCCACTTAGCATACACTTCATACTCACTCGACACCAACCCTCTCTCGATAACCGGTTAATTTGGCTCGTATGTGCACAGCGAATTACTCAGTCACATAATTAACTCATAACATATAGAATGTACAACAAAATGAGTGGATATTTACTTACTTATAGTAATAATAAATGAGATAAACGTTTTGTTGTCACGGCGGCAGGATTTGTTCTTCCTGTAAATTCCATTCCACCACAAATGCGCTGCGCCATCTAGTGGCCTGGCATGTATAAGCAATGTAGTGATGCGAGATCAAATGAATGAAAATAAATGAAAAAAATATAGGGGTGTATGGTTTGTTTCTTATCTTTTTTTATCTATTATTTCCAAACCTCTGGCTTTCCAGAAGTTGCCATAGAGATGTTGGATCAACCCCCCCTTAAGAATTGATAAAGTATTTCTGATTTTTGAATTGTAAAAAAAGTCTATTAACTTTCAACTCAACTCAATGTTTTCTCAGGTGGTACAGAGTATAAAAAATTTGATAACCACTGGTATAGACGATCAGTTAATTTTGATGCCCATGTCCATTATTTCTGCTCCTTCGTCCTCTTCAGACTCTCTACCAGCTTTACTTTGATCCTACCATGGAGCATAAGAATGTGGCCCAGAAATGGCTGACCCAGGCCCAGGCTTCCGCACAAGCCTGGCACTTCTGCTGGGCCCTGCTCAGCCAAGACAAGGTCTGTCCTCTTGGGGTTTCTCCTGTAGTTAAAAAACTCTTGAAACTGACTTTAGTCACTCCTGTATAGGACAAAACAACAGTTTTTGGACACTTACGTGACGTGTGAAAATGTCTCTTCTCAGCTCCCAGAGGTGCAATTCTTTGGTGCCAGCACCCTTCACATGAAGATCTCCCGTCACTGGAGCGACCTTCCCACAGACCAGCATGAAAACCTCAGGGAACAGCTCCTCACCCACATATTGAGTTTTTCCTCAGGGCCCAAGATGGTATTGACTCGTCTTTGTGTATCTATGGCTTCTATGGCTCTTAATCTAATCCCCCAGGCTTGGCCCAGGCCTGTGGCCGACATGGTGAGGGCATTCCAACCGCAGAAACCGACATCTGAAGTTGGATCAGATATGGAGACCTTACAGCAGAGGCCGCACGCACACTGCCTGGCTCTGCTCGAGCTCCTCACTGTACTTCCAGAGGAGTTCCAGAGCAGCCGTCTGGCGCAGACTCGCAGAACACAGTTAAGGGAGGTGTTGGCTAAGGAATGGATAGTGGTTTGTCCGATGCTGCGTCAGCTACTCCAAAGCCAGGACTCGTCGAACCAGGTGAAGGAGAAGGTGATGCGCTGTTTGTCCAGCTGGGTGGGTCTGAACGTGCCTCTGGGAGAGAGTCACGAACTCGTCGAAGACTGTTTCGGCGCGCTTTCCGATGCGGAGCTTTTCGACACGGCCGTGGAGACGATCGTTAACGCCATCTCACAGCCCGACTGTCAGAGGTGAGACCTGTGCTGGAGCCCGCAGGCGTACAGAGCTCTGGGTTCGTTTTTCAGTCGTTAGGGGTTAACACTCACGTGTCTGCAGATATGTCGACGCTTTGGTGAGCATGATGCCTCTGGTGCTGGGTCTCCATGAGCAGCTGAAGACGGCGGTGCAGGACGGGGACATGGAAACGTCACATGGGATCTGTCGCATCGCTGTAGCAATGGGAGAAACACACTCCAGGTATGAACACGCACGCACTTGTTTGTTTTTTTACAAATGATGAAAATAATAGCCACTGGAGGTCAAAAGTCACATCTGTAAATATATATTAAAATTTTTTTTTTTAGTCTGTAAATATATTAAAAAAATTTTTTTTTTTTTTTAATCAGGGTGTTGTTAGAGCAGGTGGACCACTGGCAGGAGTATCTGACTCTGGTCAACATGATACTGTACTGCACTAACATCCCTGGATATTATCCAGTCTGTGAGACCACCAGCTCACTCACGCTCACCTTCTGGTACACTCTGCAGGTATGAATGTCAGCTCGTACATATTAGCGATATCTGTCGGTATTTTAAGTATGTTTTCCACTAGTGTTTGCTTACTTCCTGTACTTCCAGGATGACATTTTGTCATTCGAGGAGGAAAAACAAGCGATATACCTGCAGATTTACAGGCCGATATACTTCAGTCTGGTTGACGTGCTGCTGCAAAAGTCCCACTATCCCTCAGAGGAAGAATACAATTCCTGGTCATCTGATGATAAGGAGCAGTTCAGGATATATAGGTATAACAGAAACGGAACCAGACTGTGCCTGAAATGAATTGTAGTCTTTAAAAATACCAAGAGTTGCATTTCAGACGTGCGATCGTTTTACACTCAGGGCTTCCGGCCGCTTTGTTTTACAGGGTGGACATATCGGACACTTTGATGTATGTGTATGAAATGTTGGGAGCAGAGCTGCTCAGTAACCTCTACGGCCGTTTAGGGACACAACTCCTAGACCCACAGCAGTCTGCAATATGGCAGGTAATGGAAGAGCATTTAAACGACTCCTTTCGGATTTACATTAGCGATGTCCGATAATAGCTGTTTGCCGATATCTGATATGCTGATATTGTCCAAACACTAAATTTCTGATTCCGATATCAACCGATACTGATACATGTAGCCGTTTTTTAACACAAACTGTTTGATTACGTCACATACCAAATTACTGTATTTTCCTGACTATCACATCACATAACTCCTGTCATGGGATTACCAAATTACTGTATTTTCCTGACTATAAGTTGCTTCAAAGTATACGTCACACCAGTGCCCTCAGTAGCAGATACTGGTACACAAGCCCAAAGTGCCCTCTAGTGGATGTCAGTGTGAAAATAATAAAAATGTAAATTTTCAGTGGAACAGAAGTAGCAGATACTGGTACACAAGTCTAGAGTGCCCTCTGGTGGCGGTCAGTGTGAAAATAAACATGTGAAATTATACAAAATAAATTATATAAAATAAATAGTTTTAATATTTAATTCGCACTATTGACTATTAGTCGCCAACCCAGCCAAAGCATGAAAAAAGGTGGGACTTATAGTCCAGAAAATACGGTACCTACTTTTATTATGCCCCACTAAAGACATTCCACAAATTGGCTATTTGGATATTACATAACTATGCTAATATCAGGCCAATAATATTGGTCGGCCGATATTATCGGACATCTCTAATTTACGTGCCTTTTATCGTCCACTTATCCCACCCACTGTCTTCTGTAGGACACAGAGGCCTTGTTGTTTGGCTTCCAGTCCATAGCAGAGACCATAGACATGAACTACTCGGATGTAATCCCTGGTCTTATCGGACTGATTCCTAGAATTAACATCGGTAACATCATGCTGGCCGATACCGTCATGTACACCATAGGTAGACGTCTGTCACGTTCACATATTTTTTTAAACAGTCACGTTCTACGTCCCTTTCTCTAATTCTCGCGCCGTTTTCCCAGGATCCCTGGCTGAGTGGCTGGCCGACCACCCGGTGATGTTGGGGGGCATTTTACCCATGGTCCTCCAGGGCCTTGCGAAGGAGGAACTGTCAGTGTCAAGTGTATCCACTTTGAAAAGGATCTGCAGGGAGTGCAGACTTGACCTCGGCCCTTTTGCTCAGGACATTCTGTCTGTGTCACAGGTCAGACCTAGAAAGTGTGGCTTTTTGATTAAAATATTAGGATATATTATATTATTAGGACAATTTGGTTGTGATTATTATAATATTCAGGGTAATGCCGTAATGTATAATTTTCAATTTTTTTTCAATCTACAGGAGGTCTTGGTTAAAGAAATACATAAGGTGCGTAAACAGCCGTCGTAAACCATGCTCTACCCGAACTTTGCGAGGACGCTTTGTGAGATGTGCAATGTGTGTCAATCTTTTTGTGTGTCTGTGTGCAGAGCAGCCAGTGCATGTGGCTGATGCAGGCTCTAGGTTTCCTGCTGTCGGCTTTGCCTTTAGAT